AGTCCCCTGGGGGCGGCTGTCCTTTGCCACATTTCTCAGAGCACCCCAGTTTACTAAAAAGCATGAGCCCAACCAACCAACATTCTAAAGCCAGAATCATGAGGCGGGTGTGGAGGAACTGCGTCACCCAGGTAGCAGGCAGCAGCCACACCAACGGTCAGCAGACAGTGTCCTGTGGTCACATGGCAGCACATGGGGAAGCTGACCAAGAGCAGGCAGGTAGCATCCTGCATCGCCAGCTTCTGCTGCGTCTCTGTCCTCACTAGTCCAGGCCTCCCCGTCTCCCACTCACCCACCCAGCAGACCCAGAGAAAAGTCCTTGGACAGCCCCCACTCAATCAACTGCCCAGAGAGGACATTGAGACTCAGGCTTTTATTTCTTGCTTATGTTTTAATTTAGTGTGGGGGTGGGCACGGCAAGCCTGTGGCAATCAGAACATTGTTTGCAGAATTGGTTCTCTCTCCACATATGGGTTCTGGGGATCAACTCAGGTTGTCAGGCTTGGTGGCAAGCACTTTTACCTGCTGAACCATCTCACTGAGCCAATTATACATTTAAAAATTGTATATTTTCCGTCTGTATGTAAGTGCACCTGTGTCGTGTAGTGCCCGTGTCATGCAGTGCCCATGCAGGACAGAAGAGGGTGTTGGATTCCCTGGAACTGGAGTTAAGGATGGTTGCTAGCCACCATGTGGGTGCTGGGATTTGAACCCAGGTCTTCAACAAGAATAGCCAATGCTCTTAACCGCTGAGCCATCTCTCTAGCCCCCAATTATACATTTTTTTTTTTTGTCTTTTTGAGATAGGGTCTCCTTATAGCCCCAGCTGTCCTGGAACTCACTCTGTAGACCAGGCTGGCCTCAAACTCACAAAGATTCGCCTGCCTCTGCCTCCCAAGTGCTGGGATTAAAGGTGTGCGCCACCACGCCTGGCGTCCCAATTATACATTTTTATTTATTTTTTATTTTTTATTTTTTTGGTCTTTCTGAGACAGGGTCTCCCTGTAGACCCAGCTGTCCCGGAACTCACTATGTAGACCAGGCTGGCCTTGAACTCACAGAGATCCGCCTGCCTCTGCCTCCAGAGTGCTGGGATTAAAGGTGTGTGCCACCATGCCTAGCCAATTATACATTTTTAAAGGGATGAAATGTAGTTATGAAAAGTTTCTCCTCTCTCTCTCTCTCCATATATCTCTATCATCTATCTATCTATCTATCTATCATCTATCTATCTAATCATCTATCATCTATCTATCATCATCTACCTGCCTATCTACCTATCTATCTACCTGTCTATATGTGTGTGTGTGTGTGTGTATACATTTTAAGGACAAGAAAAAAATATACCCCCAACCATGTTACTGGTTAGAGCGGCTGCTGTTCCCATCTGCTTGTCTGAAACACCGAGTCAGTGTGCCCTACAGACACAGGCAAGCACTTACCGATGGGCTACCTGCTCATGAAGCTGCTGACTGAATCCCAGTTGGGCTGTGGCTTCAGGATGGCTCTCTTCTGCATCAGTTTATAGAACCTGGCTGTGACAGTCACACCCTGGGAGTTTCGTGTATAGAACCTGGCTGTGACAGTCACACCCTGGGAGTTTCGTGTTCACTGGTGTGTGTCCCTCAGATTTTAGTGTGTGTCACCAAACCTGAGTACAGAGGAAGGCTTTTCAAGTTTTAAAAGAAAACATTTCCAATTTCTGGGGAGCCGTAAGTCCTTCCAGTGAGTGACAATGAAGCAACCTTGCATCAACCAGTTTTAAAAAGCTGGGTTTTATGTGTGTGCCGGGGATATAACCTACGGTGTTAAGCAAGGCATCTAAAGGATGCATTTTATCGGGGCTGGAGAGATGGCTGAGCGGTTAAGAGCACTGACTGCTCTTGTAGAGGACCTGGGTTCAATTTCCAGCACCCACATGGCGGCTAAGAACCGTCCTTAACTCCAGTTAACTCTGATGCCCTCTTCTGACCTCTGTGGCATTGCATGACACGGGTGCACTCACACACATGCAGGCAATAAATACACTCATACACTAAAAATAATAAAATATTTTTTTAATTTGTTGGATGCCCTTAAAGTGATGCCTTCTCTGCTTATATATATATATATATATATGTATATATATGTATATGTATGTATATATGTACTTACTTATTTTGGTGTGATAGGGACTTAAACATGCTAGGCTAGTATTTTCCCACTTGAGAAGAATCTTTAACTGGTAAAATTTTTTTTGTGTGTCTTTTTTGAGACAGGGTCTCCCTGTAGCCCTAGATGACCTGGAACTCACTATGCAGACCAGGCTGGCCTTGAACTCAGAGCTCCACCTGCCTCTGCCTCCCAAGTCTTGGGATTAAAGGTGTGCACCACCACACCCAACTTAATTGGTAAAATTTTAATAACACCTGCCAGGTAAATTTTGCCAGTGTGCACCAACAATTTGGGGTAAATGGAAAGAAAAACAGTACTGTGTACAATTAGGGTGGGTAGGAAATTTAGAGCTGGGTATTGTTTGGGGATTATAATTTTACTTCTCTTTAATTTCACTTTGTTCATTTTTCAGTCAATATAGCAACCAATGTGGTTGGTTTTTTGTCCACTAGAAACCAAGTTCACTTTCTGACAAAAGGCAGGAAAGACAGAACCCTTCCAGGGAGTGCCCTCGTTTGCTCTGAAAATCTTAGCTCTATAAGTAATTTCGTCTCTTGGGTTATTTGTTGGTTGTTTTTGTTGTGTGTTTTCTTTTGTGGTTCTGAAGACCGAGTCTCAGGTCAGTATTTTAATATTTTTGTGGTACAGGGGATAGAACCCAGGGTTTTGCACATACACGCTTGGCAAGTGCTCACCCACAGAGCTACATCTCCAGCCCTAGTATTAGTGCTTTAAAAATTTTAAATTAGACTGAACAGCAAGTATCTGTTAACCCTTCTCTTTCAGATTCCCCTTCTCTCTCTAATTCTTGGCTCTCACCAGCACCCACTGGGATCAGAGGGAAAATGCAGATCATGAGATCAGAGGATGCTGAGACCACGGAGCAGGATCAAGGTGATGAGGGGCAGTGCTGGGTGATGGAACAGGATTCCGAATTCATATACAGGAAAAAGTTGGCATCATATTAAGACCTCTTTTCTTGGGGGAATCTGCAGCTTTCAATCACAGACTTAGAAAGACAGAAAACTGTTGGATAAAATAATATGTTATAAATATTTATTTATTTATTGTGTGTGTGTGTGTGTGTGCAAGCAACATTGTGTACAGGTGGAGGTCAGAGGATAAGTTGTGGAAGTTAGTTCTCTCTTTTGAACATGTGGGTCTTGGGGATTGAACTCCGGTTGCTGGACTTGGCAGCAAGCACCTTTACCTGTTGAGTCATCTTACTGGATCCCCTGTATCAGCTCTTTAACCAGGTTACTGACTGTGTTTGAGAATAAACCCATTACCTCAGGCCAAAAAAAAAAATGTAAGAGAGAAAAGAGAAAGCAAAATTACTAGTGTTAAAAATGTTGATGTATCGCCAGATGTGGTACCACACGCCTTTAATTCCAGCACTTGGGAGGCAGAGGCAGGCAGATCTTTGTGAGTTCAAGGCCAGCCTGGTCTACACAGTGAGCTCCAGGACAGCTGGGGCTACAGGGAGACCCTGTCTCAAAAAGACCGAAAAAAAAAAAACAAAAAACAAAAAAAACAAACAACATCAACATTTTTAACACTAGTAATTTTGGACAAAAACAAAAGCAAACTTGATTTGCAAAGAACTACCTTCTTCAAGCCACAATAAACTTTTACTGAGCTGTGGCTTTTGGTAAAATCAGGATCTAATCTTCCAGCTGAGGGTGGAGGATTCACATGGGGAGCCCCGAATACAATGTGAGGCAAAGCTGGCATGGGTTGGGGTGAGGGACAGGGATTGATAAAGGTCTTACAAAGAAGGATTAGTGGCAAGTGGCACTGAGGTCAGAGGTCACTGCACCCTTCTGCAGCTGAGAGAGGATCATTACCAAACCACAGGTATGAATTCAGGGAGGGTGACCGGAGTGGGCTGTGGGGCGGTGTTATGGTAGCCCACAGCATGAAAGGCAGAAGGAAGGCGCCCTCATGCCTCAATATAAAACTTAGAAATATTTTCTAACAGAAAAGCTAACAAAGTGGGATTAAAATAGAATACAGCAACACCCATGCAACTGCTCTGACTTCTTACAAAAGATTTATTTTTATTTGATGTGTATCAGTGTTTGCCTACATGTATGTATTTGCACACTTTCATGTGTGCAATGCCCGTGGAATCCAGAAAAGGGCACTGGATCCCCTGGAGCTGGAGTTACAGGTGGCTGTCAGCTGCCATGTGGGTGCTGGGAACTGAACTTGGGTTCTCTAGAAGAGGAGGAAGCACTCTTAACTGCTGAGCCATCTCTCCAGCCCTCAGCTGCTCTGACTGCAGCACAAATAAAGCCTTCTGACAAAACAAGTAAGGAAGAGCTTTGAAATTAACAGAGGAGAGAGGAGAGAGAGGAGAGAGAGGAGAGAGAGAGAGAGAGAGAGAGAGAGAGAGAGAGAGAGAGAGATTGAGAGAGAGAGGTCTAGGTCAGGACCTGGCCTGCCAGTTCGGGAGGGCTGAGGGAATCCTGGGATCTGAGGCCAGGCTGGCTCCCCTGCTGACCCTGAGCAGCCTGCCCACTGAGCACCTGGGGGAGAGACCACAGGGCCTTGACCAAACACTTCCTACTTGCAGCTCACCACACACTTGAGCTATTGGGGTGCACTTCCCTTCCTCGGATGGCAAAGGTGCCCACAGGAAGGGATGCCACACTTTACAGTGCTAAAGATGCTTTTTCACCCCTCAATCCTTCTGTAACTGTCTAAGAATAACTGGTTTTACACATTTGGGCTTTTTTGTAAACCAGCTGTGACTAGCAGCAAACAACCCCAACAATGACACATGGTTCACATCAAACCATGCAGGATGCCAAAAAGAAAACCTTGTTTCAGCTCACACTCACCCATGACTGGCGATCTAGCAAGTCCCCAGGAGGAGGGAGTCCATTTTCTTCCTCTGCTGTCCAGCCTGAGGACAGAGCAGGGAGTCCCAGGACTTGCTGCCATCTGCAGGCCAAACAGGAAAACACTTAAGCGGTGGCCGGGATCACCCAGCTGAAGCCCCTGGGTCCCACCCTGGAGAGGAGTGGGAGCCAAGAGCACTCCCACAGCATCGGAGGCTGCCCAGACACTCCCTGGAGATTCCACCCAGCCAGCTCAGCAGCAGAAAGAGCACAGTGTCCTTCCTTCCTTCCTTTTTCTTCCTTCCTTCCTTCCTTCCTTCCTTCCTTCCTTCCTTCCTTCCTTCCTTCCTTCCTCCCTCCCTCCCTCCCTCTCTCCCTTTCTCTCTCTTCCTTCCTCCTTTCTTTTTTTTTTTTTTTAAAAAAAATGGCCTTAATTGTCGGGAAGTTCCGCGTTTTTTTTTTTTTTTTTTTTAAAAGACAGGGTCTCAATATGCAGTAAGTCTGGCCTGGAACCTATTGATCCTCCTGCCTCAGCCTCCAAGTGCTGGAACTGCAGGCATGGGGACACCACACCTGGCTGATTCAAACATTTCCTCTTCCGTTTTTGTTTTTTTTAACTTTTTATTGCATTTATTTAGATGTGTGTTGGTATGTATGTGCCGTAGCATGTATGTGGCAGTCAGAGAACAGCTTGCAGGAGTCAGTTCCCTTCTTCCATCGTGTGAGTCCCAGGGATGAAACTCAAGTAGTGAGACTTGGCTGCAAGTGCGTTTACTGGCTGAGCCATTACCCCGGCCCTGATTCAAGGATTTCTTAAGAGCAACAAAGTCTCACACAGGGCTGTGGTCAATATGACTGACTTTTATCCAATTATTGAATCCTTACAGCAACAGGTAGACGCTTTTTAAATGGTCCCCTGCCAGTCTGCCTGATTAGTGAGTTAGCCAGGGCGATTGAAATGAAGAGCTTGGTATTACTTGATTTCAAAGAGGTTGATAAAAAATGAAAACTTTGAGGGGCTGGAGAGATGGCTCAGTGAATAAGAGCTTTGGCTACTCTTGCAGAGGACCTGGGTTTGAATCCCACGTCGCTGCTAACAACCATCTGTAACTCCAGGGTATCCGACACCCTCTTCTGACCTCCGAGGCATCACATGACACAGGTGCACCTCCCTACATGCAGGCAATACACTCATAGACATAAAATAAAAATAATAAATAATTTTTTAAAATGAAAACTTCGAGATTCTGAGCTCCCTAGGGCTCACTCAATCCCCAAATATTTATGGAGCTGGGGCTGCCCTGGGATTTGGGGAGAGAGCTGCATATACATAAGTCCTGCTTGCAGGAGCCTCCATCCTAGAGGACAACCAGAAAAGCGATAATGCTGGGCCAGAGCTGCAGGGATGGCTTGGTGGGGGAAGCGTTTGCCACATAAGCACAAGGACCTGAGCTGGAATCCCTAGAACGTATAGCAAGACAGGTACAGTTGTGTATGTGTCTGTAACCCAAGCACTCCTGTGGGGACATGGGAGGTGGAGGTAGAATTTCTGGACGCTTTTGGACCAGCTAGCCTGGTGGGCACAGCACAGGGGCAAAAAGCAAAGATACTCTTACCCGAACCACCTGAGGTTGTCCTCTGGCCTCCCTATGTGCACTATGGCATGCACAGGCCTGAACACCTCCATACATGCACACACACATGCACACAAACCATACATACATACAAGGTATAGGGGTAGAAAGCGAACACAAGGAACAAATGTCCACTTGTGCATTCATTTGCCTTGAAGTGCTCACTAGTCCTGTCGTTTCTTGCCCACAACCGCATGCCAGGCACCCTGCTAAGGATACAACTGTGGGTAAGAATTAGACCTGGTCCCAGTCCCTATGGAATATTTAGTTACATAAGAGGGACATTTGATCAATCAAGCAACTATGGTCTCTGCCTCAAAGTACTGACAGAAGAGAAATATTTGATATTAACCCAATTATCACTTAGATAAATCTGAAGCTGTGGTAGGACAGCAGAAGGAAGAGGGGTCCCTGTGACAGCCTCCCAGGGAGGGACCCTGTGGAGAGAGGCAGCCCCTGGGAAACAGCATGCTGGGTGCACAGATCAAGTCAGAGACAAGCAGAGAGGCAGGTGAGGCTAAGAAGGGGCATATCAGCCCTTGCAGGGTACTCCCACCCACAGGAGCAGTGGCAACTTTATCCTCTGTAAAACAAAACACTCTACAGGGTCCATGTGGTTGGATGTGTGCTTTCAAAAGATTCTGCTAGGTGGTGAGCTGGAACCTGGTTCCTCCAAAGACTGGATCTGTGAGGCAGCGTGTGTGTTCCCTTACACAGGTAAGGGATGTTGCAGCTGTGACTAAGGTAGGGTCTTGGGGTGGGAAGGGTATCCAGGTGGGCATAATGTAATTTACTCTCTAGAGCTTCCAGAAGGAATGCTTCCTGCCAGTCTTAATTTTAGGACTTCCGACTCCTAGAACTATGAATAGGAAATGTGTGTTTTAAGCCGTGGAGTTGTATATATTTGTGCGTCTGTGTGCGCACGCGCACATACATGGCGCACATACGAGAGGACAGCTTGAGGGAACTGGCTCTCTCGTCCTCTATGTGGGACCTGGGGAGCAAACTCAGGTGGTAGAAGCCAGCAGGTCCCAGTGATCCTCCTGTCTCCACTCCCCTCTGAGCTGGGATTATGGGTGTGAGATACCCAGCTTATCCTGTGGGTCCCAGGATCCGAATTCTAGTCCTCAAGATTGCACAGCAAGTACTGTTAACTGCTGAGCCATTTCTCTAGTCACTCCACCACCACCTAACCCTTTTTTTGTGTGTGTGTTGGGGATGGAACCCAGGGCTTTCTGCATGCTGGGTAAGCATCTACTAGCTGACCTAGATCACCAGTCCTCAGAGGCTGAATTTCAAATTTTATATTCTCTAGCCAGTCCCTGATCCTAGGACAGGGCTATGGTAGGAACCTTCAGTTGCTAGTAAGTTTACACAAACTGATATGGTACTTGGTTTAACCAAGCTAAAGTAAACTCAGCAAAACACGAGGAAGTGACTTCAGCATTTGCAAATATTTCAGGATGTCTTTGTGCCAGGAAAGGTCAGCTGAGGATCAGAATAGCACGGATTCCAAAGTATACTTTGGAAAAATATGAGCCTCGGGGAAGCCTTACTCCGAAGATACAATTCACTGCACATTTTCAGTAAGCCAATGAGAAACATCTTAACTTCTGCAAAATACCATTGTACAAATGGGTTACGGGTGAACACAACATCTAAGATTGCTAAAGAAGAAAGATAAAAGTAGATTTTGAAGCAAAACAAGAATTTATAACACATAGGAGCTTCCAGATTATTCTTCTGGGCAGATACTTATCTTTTGGAAAGTTGGAGAAAGTTGGAAAAGTTGATTAATAAAGGCACGTTGAAAGGGTTTTAAGGCCAGTGACATGGCTCACTGGATAAAGGTTCCTGCCCCAAAGCCTGTTCAATCCACAGGATCTACACAGAAGAGAAACATTTCTGTAAGTTGTCCTCAGACCTCCACACACATGTGCACACACACAAATGAATGAATGAGAATTTAGAAATTAAAACAAGCTAAAAGGTTTTATATGTTTGAAAGGAGATTATAGAGTCTGGTTAATTTTTTAATTGATAGGAAAGTATGTTTAAGAACTGAATAATGGCCCTTTGTTGTTTATGGAACTTCCAAATCTCTAAGCAAAAAGAAGGAAGAAAGGCAGGTGTGGCAGTACATGCCTGTAACTCTAGGTCCTGGGGATTACAGGCAGAGAGTGGGATTGAGAGGGAGGCCTGGGCAATAGAGTGAGACCCTGGCTCACTGAAGAAATACAAAACCAAACAAACCAAAAAGCAAGGCTTGGAGATGGGGCACTCTTGAATCCTAGCTCTTGAGAAGTAGAAGCAGGAGGATCAGGAATTTAAGGTCATCCTTGGCTAGCTAGGGAATGGGAGGCTAGCCTGGGCTACATGAGACCATGTCTTAAAAATAAAACCAGGAAAAAAAGAATCCTCATGATAAATATATGGAAAACAAAATAACAGGAATAAAACTACATCTACCAATCAGTTATCAAAATAAATACAGATGAATTAAATTCCCCCATTCAAAGACTAAGGCTTTCAACCTAACATCCATGGTTAAAAACTGGGTAAATGTTGGCACTCCGCTTTAACAGATATGTGTGCAGAGCACACACAGAGGCCTGTAACTTATATAGTTTGGAAAGTCTTAGAAAAATGTTTGTAAGAGATAGGAAAGGTCCAGAAAACGTGTCAACGTGATAACCGTGGCTGCTTCTAGAAAGCGGCTCACAAGAGGCAGGAGAGGACTTCCTTGACTCCATTTATGAAGGTCTACATTACTTTATTACAAAATGCACATAACCAACAAAACATAAAGAAATGAATACTAAACATAAAAGTGAGCCGGGCATGGTGGCACATGCCTTTAATCCCAGCACTCAGGAGGCAGAGGCCAGCTTGGTCTCCATAGCAAATCCAGGCCAGCTGTGGCTACGGAGGACAAATCTCTAGGAAGACTGAAAACCACCAACCGAAGATTTAAGAAAAGAGACTAGAGGACTCGAGATGTATAGGGTAAGAGAAGGCTCAGCGGGTAAGGGCCCTTGCCATCAAGCTGATGACCTTCAATCCCAGGGACGGTGGAAGAAGAGAATCACTCCTTCAAATTGTCCTCTGACCTCTATATGCACACCAGGGCATGTGCATGCCCCTCCACACACACACACACACACACACACACACACACACACGCACACGCGCACTTCATTTTAAAAGAGGCTGTACAGAAAAGAAGGAAGTGAAGGTAAAACAAACATTTTAAAAGTTATAAAACTGGGGCTGGAGAGATGCGGTGGTTAAGAGCACTGGCTGCTCTTGCAGAGGACCTAGGTTCAATCCCAGCACCCACATGGCGGCTAACAACCATCCATAATTTCAGTTCCAGGGGAATCCAATGTCCTATTTGACCTCTGCAGGCATTGCACAACACAAGTGCACTTACATGCAGGCAATACAACCATACACATAAAAATAATAA